TTACATCACATACAGAGAAAATGGAAGAGTTTGTATTAAAAAAAAATATTANTTTTATATAATGAAGCAAGTTATCTTTTATGTATTTTTTTTCTATCTCTGTTTAAATTATTTATTATAATAAAACAACATAAGATGTATAACAAGTTATTACGGCTTTTTTTCATGTATAAAATAACCGCCCTGTAACAAGGACTTTTTCCTTAGTACAATAAAGCTTTGATTGATTGATTGATTGATTAATAATGAAGAAAGTTATAACTTTTAGAAATTTTTAAATAAAATAAAGATTAAAAATTATGTAAAATATAATTTTTAAAAATTCTTAAATTTAAATTAAAAAATAATAATAATTATAACTTTTTAAAGAAGTTAGTAGTAAGTTAGTTAGTATTATATTGGAGGCAGTAATTGGAGTATAATTTCTGCCTCCAATATAATTGGAGGCAGAAATATAAATATAACTTTAATGCAGAAGTATACTTTAAAATAAATCATCATATTTTTTTCAATATTAAGTCTATTTTAGTTTTATAAAGTAAAATGAATTTTTAGATAAACAATGAGACTTCTTCTATGCAAATATGGTTAACAATTGGAATAAAATTTGATTTTCCTCTTGCTTAAAAATAGAAATAATTTAATTAATTCTAAATTTGTAATCCTCAAAAAATTAATTATCTAATAACAAAATTACAAAATGTTAACTTGAAATATGTAGATATTTAAATAAAATTCATAGATTAAATTAATACAGATCAGTGTATATAAATGAATCATTTTTAAACTTTTATTTTATGAAAAAAAATAAATTATTAGCATGAAAAATTACCTTCCATTTTAAATAAAATATTGTTTTATTATTATTTTCATCTATAATTAGACATTACATTAATAAATCGGCAATTAACATTAAAATTTGATGAATATTTCGTTATGAATGCTATAAAAAGGACATGGTTATGTATCATTTTTATGCACATGAAATTGCAATTTTTATAATTTGATTAAATACATAATTAAATTACGAGAAAAAAAGGAGAAAATTTCAAAAAGTTTGCTCGCGGTTGTTGACTAATTTCGCAAATGATGGTTATGTAGTCAAGTCATCCATTCAATGTAATGAGTAGAAGTTACTCGGATTACATAATAAATTTATTACGTGGTATAACATCATTTTTATGATTTAGATGAATTTTGATGAATAAATTGGTTTTATCACGAATTAATGCTTATGTAATTGTTTCTCTCGCGCTCGAATATAATTTTTCTCATTAGCAATATTGCCTTTCTATAACATACGATAAAGCAATATATTTTTGCATAAATTCCTTAAAATAATAGTTTAAAATTTATGTCCATTTGCTCGTTTTCGATAAAATTACCATTAACTAAAGTTACAATTTCTCTACTTAATTATAATTTTATTGCTTTTATTCGTAAAAATATATATATCAATATATTATTTTATAATTATTAGGTAAAGCGTATTTTAATATATTCCGCTTGCTCGAAGATAAAGTGCTATTAAAATTATCGTTAGAGAAATCGGATATTTGCAAACAAGAGCTTTCAAGCTTCTCCCACGACAGGATTTTCTATGCATTATTCAGATGTTACTTGACCAGGATCGACGTGGTATTAATGCTGTATACTTAGTAATTTGATATGAAAATGCATTGGTTCGTTGTCTGACAAATATTGTTGATGTTTATAAGCTTCTTCACAAATTACGAATATAACTATAATTTATCATCGAAAAATAAAAATGTATCAAATTTAATGATTTAAGAAGATTTCTCTTCTACTCAATTATTTTTGTTTTATTTGAGTTATTTCTGATTTATCCGGGTACATTTTCTGATCATTTTTCTCTATTTCACTTTGAAATAATGGTTATCTCGAACGTGAAAAAGTAGTTGCTTAAATTATATATTTTACGAAGAGAATAAATAACATCGTCTGAAAGAAAAGTTAATTTGATTAAATCGTTTTTTTTCTTTTTTAATATTCGTATGACTCATCGTGTGATTACATAGTATCTTTTCTAGTTAAACTTCATTACAATCATTTGAGATAAAATAATGATTCAGACACATAATGAGACTCTAAATTCAATATTCATTAAACGTTTCGGTTTTCTTTATAAATTTTGCTATATTTTAACACGTAGAATCTTTATTATACACAATTTATTGTATAAAAAGATTAAAGTAGTTATATTATGTGTAGTTTATGGTAGAACTTGAGCATTTATACATCATTTGAGATAGAGCTTAGCAAGCTTTTCTATTTGACTATAAACAAGTTGTAACTATGTTATATTTTTGGGGGGGTGACAAAGCATGTTATCATAACTTTCGAATTGGTTATTTACCGCTAGATGGCGACACTTCAACAGTTTTTATTTTTAATAAATTATCTTTTGTTTGTTACTCACACTTAACTTAGAATAATTATAAACATAATTAATTATATATAATATTTTACTTATTTAAATTAAATAATATACTTTTTAAGTTAATTTATCATGTAAAAATAATAAAAATTTAAGTATTATATAATAATTTTAGAAATTATAAAGAGTAATTTAGAATGTTAGAAACAATTAAATGTATCCAGAATAACACATTTAGGATGTATAGCATGTAATCAGCATTTACTGCAGGCCATAACCTTCTAGAATTCCTGTTTCTATATTCAACTATTATTCTGCGCGTTATAATAACCTCTGAATATAATTTGGCAGCTGTATATAGTAGCTGTTAATAGATGTGAAGGTAGAGAGAATGAGATACGATATTCAAAGATGGTTGGATAATTCTAGTTATGACACGCTATATTATAATATATAATATCATAATGGACCACTCTCAAAATAAATGTTGCATTTATTTTATAAATAATTTATTTTAATGGAAAAATTCATTGATTTATATCGATTTATTTATCTTAATTTATAATTTTTTAAAGTTATTTTCAGTAAATTTATGTAAATAATTTTGATTATAAACTAATGCTACAATATTATAGATTAAAATATATAATTTATTTATAATTTTACTCTTGTTAGAAATTATATTCTATCGATTAATTGTAGGCCAATAGTTATAATTATTAAGCTTTACTAATTTGTGCAGCAGGTCTACATTTATATAATCCAGATTACTGTATATCCTATTCTGAGTTTGAACGATAAATGGATAAACTGATGATATGTCAATAGTAATTAGTAATTATTATAATCAATTTTGATAATTTAACTTTGAAAATTAATTAAAAGCTCATATATTATATTTTCGAAAGTTATATTTCTAAATAAATTATTTATTTATCTAACACAATTTATATAATTTATGTGATAAAATTTAAAATTTATGCCAATTACATTACTAATTTATATAATTTAAAATTAAATTGCTTATCATATAAATTTTCAAGTTTTACAATTAGAAATGCGAAGAAATTTATGAATGCTTATGTCGAAAGTCGTTCTTGGCTATTTATTTTATATCCGAAGTAATTTTAATTACATATTTAAAATAAATTTCTATTTGTTATTTTAATATAATGTTACTGGAATAAGTAATCTTGTAAACTGATGTCGGATAACGATATCTAAGTATTAGAATCGAATGAACCGGCTTTCTTTAACGAACACTGATTACAGCGAAAATATATCAAGGGAGCTCATTTTGGGAATTGAAACTTCAATTTATAACATAAACATCGGAAACTGTAAATATTTGTCAGCCCCTTTCCGGAGTACATACAGATACTCCCAAGGAAACCTAGTCTATTCCAGTTTTCCTAAAACCTTACCATCTATCTTCCCAACCCCTAGCGAATAGTCACTTGATACAAATATCCCTAGACGACAAAACTTTTGAGCCATCGGTAAATGACTCCTACAAATCGAAAATCGGAATTTACTATATAGTTACTTCGATATATTGTAATACGAATTGATACTGAAAAGATGGAATCCATATATAGAGAGAGCGAGAGAAGATCTGACTTGATCTAATGGATGCTCCATATGTTATCAATTCCAAAATGTATTTATCTGGAAACTACAAACTGAGTTACATTCAGCCATTTAATATCAAAGACATTTTCTTTATAATTTATAAATAAAAGCAATTATAAAATGAATTTCGGTATATAAATTATATTTCAAATTCTGTCTCTAATTATCTTTCAATAAAACTAAAGACATATTTTAAAATTTAATATACACAAACGATAGGATTTATAAATCAAATATTTTATATTTCATTTAAATTGTAGTAAGGATGTAATATACTGTATATAAATCTTTGTTTTAAATTATGTTTAGAACTTTTCATTTTAAATTTCAAATTAATGACATTTGCATCAAAACGCAGTCAAATTTGTAGAAGATGCAGAACATAGGAAGCCAAAAGGTCTGAATTTTCATTCCACGTGTTTATTGCACATTAGCATTTTATAGCTTTAGTGAAGAATGTTTACCAGAGAGGTCACCCGTTTGCACGCGATCTGTCTTCTGTCAGGTAATTTCCTCAGTCTGGAGTACGTAAGTAATGAAAACGATGTAATTGTGCTCTCGGGACGAACAAGATCGAACATATACTGACCCAGCCTACTTCAAGCAATGTCTGCAATAATCTTTTGCTTGTGTTTTTTGTTTTCTTTATATCACGTGGTAAAAGTACTTATTGGAATGACACATACCTTACTCTTTTCTAAACGACTTTCATTTCTGGTTGTATGTTATCTTTACAAATAAATTATAATAATAATTACGGTCCGTTTCTTTTTAAAAATCATTTAATTTTAATGTTCTAATGATTATGAATGATAATTAGTTAATTAATTTCCTTCATTTAATTAAATTATAGATTTGTAAACGAAATGTAGACACAGTTCGAAAGACACAGTTTTACATTTTATTCGAAAAAGAAAAAATTGTTCATTTGTAACAATCGAAAATATTACAGATATATAAATTAGCGGAAGTAATCATAAATCACACATAAAACTTGTGTTACGTCATAGCAACAGTCAGTAAGCGCCGCTCTGTCCCCTGGTGGTGAAGTTCTTTTGCTGTTAACAATCCAATCCTGTTAGTAGTTCAGTAATATCAACCACTCCTAAATAACCGTTTCGTTTTGTCAACTGAAGCTCGACCAGGATATCGCTAGGAATTCTGGGAGACCAGGTGGCAGTCGACACGAAAGTGACCGTGTATCAGAACACCAGGTGAAGGCGTACATAGTGAGGCAGGCCTGTTATCGCGCACTGTTTGAATTGCCACTCTCTCAACTACAACCACGTGACAGTTATGGCACCGTTGAGGCTGTTTGTAGCCATCTGCTTCACATTATGTCTACCAGAATGTAAGTTTTTTTGTTTTACAACTTGTCTAACTCGCACACGTGGTTATTTGATTATTTGTAAACAAGTGTCAATCACGTGTTTATCGTAATACAGAAGCAGCAACTACATCTAATTAACATATTCTTATGGAATAAATATCAAATTCAATTTTATAAAACAAATAAGTGATTTATAAACTTTATTATATGATAAACGTATTTCAAATATTTACGTAATATTAAATATTCATATTTAAGAATATAATTAATTCGAAATATGAATTCTACTTAATTTATATTTAATTATATATTAATATATAATTTTGTATAATGTATATGAATGATATATAATTTATTAACGATAAATGCCATTTCTAATTTATACGAAGCGAATAAACCATCTTAAATAAGTATAGGAAAGCCCGGATAGGAATTAAACATGGACGAGTAAATGATATATTGTTACAATAAATTCAAACTTGTAAACCATTTTCAATTGCGTGTGTTGAGGACTGTAATCGCATACTATGGTATGTTGTAAGAGCTATTGAAAGAGCCGCATACTGTAAGCTGTAACTTATATAGTTTATCGGTTCGCGTGTTCAGTTGAGGTAGTTCCTCAGGAGTGCATTTAAGTTCGAACGCATTAAAGTTTCATTTCCTCAGAGATAATAATTTGATACGTAGTCAATAACATTAACTTTTTAAAAAACTTAATTTTTTATATCAAATATTTTCGAATTTTAACGTAGCTCGTTGACATTGATCAATTTACTAAAAGATAAAAAATAAAAAAAAGCTGATAAAATATTCTTGCACATTTTTTAAAACATAATTTAATATAAATTTTACATTTTATAACATAATTTTTGATATATTTATTTAAAAAGGTTAAAAAAAGTTTTAAATATATATATGAGATATTGTATATAATTTATGTTATATTATTTCTTTAAAACTTTTTAATAATAAATAAAATAGTTTAAAATTAAAATTTTATTCAGCAGAATTTAAATTTATTTAGGCCTATATTTTTAAGTTATTTAAATAGAAATAATAAATTATTCTGCAATATTTACATGCTTAAATGAATTCTTGGAAAAAAACTATTGTATGGTATGTGTATATTTAGACAAATTTTATGAAAATGTTGACATAATCAGTGAACTTGAAAAACATTTAATAAATAAATAATTTTTTAATTTTTTAACTTAAATATATAAATAATTTAATTGTTTATTTATGCGAATATAAATATTATTTTCAAATAGAACAATATGATTGTTATGCCTATTATATTTGATTTATTTTGTATATGTTTTAATGTATGTCTGGAGGTGACAATATTTGTCTTGAATAAAATAAAATAAAAATAAATTTACTCCAGGCAATGTCGTAAGTTTCCAATTCGTTTCTAAATAATAGGATTTAAAATGTTTTGTGGGAAATGGACAAAAAGAATGTTGCGTGAGACTATATCGTTATTGCATGATTTCCTTTGTTCCTGGTGAAAATTAACGATTATTAAAAATTGCTCTTTATTAAATTAAGGTTGGATATACGCTGCACGTAAATTATTATTAGATTTATATTATTTCTATTGAAGCAACATGTAAGAGTTGTTGACGTGCTTATATTATCCAATTATTAACAACACATTGTTTATTGTTAGGTTTGTTAATATTTATAAAAATGATTTAAGATGCGAAACGTAAAATATTTAAAATTCTAATTCTAATTAAAAATGTTTTGAAATATTACAAACGTGTCCGTTATTATTTTAACTCCAATTAACCTGATTTAAGAATGATTTGTCAGTCGACTCGTGAGACTACGCTATTCAGATTTATGCTTGTTACGAAAGGATGATAATAGAAGGATACATCATCTGAATGCTATTCTCCGGAAGTGCAGGGAATAGTATTCCCGGTGTTAGTCACACGAATATCCTGCCAACCCGGGGCAACGGAAGGCAATCTTTTCATTTCTTAACGGAAATGATAACAGTAACATGCAAATATACTGTATAAGCCTTATTCTTTGCTGTAAGACATGAGGGAAATACTCCATATTATTTTTAATAAACTTTCAAATGTTTCTAGACTTAAAATCTTTTATATTAAGCTTACTTTTCTGCTGGTTTATATATAGTTTACGATATATTGCAACTTCTAGGTTCTAAATTAAGCCTGTAGGATATTAGACTTCTAGTAGACGGCAATTTTTTGAGTTTCAAAGGCAAAAATTACATGTAAATTAGTGTAAAGAGAAGTATGAATTGTAAACTTAGGATATTCTTATGTAAAATTATTTGAATAATGTAATACTTTCTTTAGAAAATTGTATTCTGAGAGTTTGTCTGTTTGTTTACATGAGGAATATAAAAATTTATCCTCGGTATATTAACAAATATATATATATGAGGTTATGATGTGTTTTTATCATAAATCAATAAACTGATGTGATAAATCTACATTATGATTTATATTGCAGATCATTATTGGCGAATGAATGGGGGGAAAAAACAGTATCGATCTACTTCCTAAGTAATTGGCATCACAATAAATTAATTGTATTCTGCAAGGATTACAAAAAAAATATCTCCTAAATACTTGACAAGTTTATTGAATATTAATGAAATATATTGATGAATGAAATAAAAAATAAATATGATAAGTTTATTGAATGCAACACGATAAGCTTACTGAACAAAAAAAATGATAGATTGAATATTAATATATTTGATATTTTATATTTTAAAAATATTTAAGAGGAGTTTTTTTAATTTAAAAATTTACTCTTTTAAATTTTAAATAATATAAATTTACAGATTAANCTCGAATATAATTTTTCTCATTAGCAATATTGCCTTTCTATAACATACGATAAAGCAATATATTTTTGCATAAATTCCTTAAAATAATAGTTTAAAATTTATGTCCATTTGCTCGTTTCGATAAAATTACCATTAACTAAAGTTACAATTTCTCTACTTAATTATAATGACTATAAATTAATTTAATAATAAAATCATTTAAATAATTTCCCATTTATATATGATTAATTCATTAAAAATTTGTTTTTTTTTTCTAATTTTACCATAAAAATAAGCATCCTGACATATACTTTTTTCTGTCTGGACATATGCTAGCTCAATTAATTAATCCATATTACATGAAAGATAATATTTGAAACATTTGGTACCGATCAGTATTAGGCAATATAATAATTAGCGATCATTAAATGCTCAAAATAATCATAATCTTGCTATTATAATCGAGGACTANTTTTTTCTGTCTGGACATATGCTAGCTCAATTAATTAATCCATATTACATGAAAGATAATATTTGAAACATTTGGTACCGATCAGTATTAGGCAATATAATAATTAGCGATCATTAAATGCTCAAAATAATCATAATCTTGCTATTATAATCGAGGTCTAAATATTAATAATCTTGAAATTGCCCGCAGATTTACTACCATTTATTCTCTCAAGTTATGACAATAACACAGATGTTAGAGTAGGGAAGTAAAATTAAAATAGTTTACAACCTCAAGCATTAATAAAATTATATTTAAGTATCTCATCAACTTTATATATTTGCAATTAAAATATATTATTTCTACTGTTATGACGTATAATTTCTAATAAATTATAGCTTAAACATTAATTGAATTTTGATCGATTTAAGTAACGAAACTTGGAGCTTTTTAATTTAAAAATTAACGCTTTTTTCGTTTAAAAAGGTATATTCATTAAATTTAATTACATTAATTTTAGTGCTACTTTATTTAAAAAATTAATTACTGTGTAACTAGATATGAAAACTTTAGTCGAAAGCAATAATTTAAAGCTCACGTTGATTATTATTAAAGTGATATTTTATTTTTCTACTGTTTTTAATAGTTTTCGAAATTTTTGAAAAGTCATTTCCAAATGAAAAAGAAAACAGACAAAATACTTAAAAATAGATTATATTTATCACTATATATATTATGTGGCATGAATCATCGGATGGGCATGTTCGTATATCCTTTTGACAAGAAAATACACAACATGATGTCTAGTACACCCTTGGGAAACACTTCCCCATTTATCCAAAGACTGTAAAGTGGTCAACTGAAGATTGATCTCTGCTTAACCTCTTCGAACTTTCGCTAAAAATAAAAGAATGTGAAAGCCCGAAGGAAATTCACTTTGCGCCAACATCGTAGATTCCATTTAAAAAGTGATTTTGTGACAATGTATTACCCTCAAAATAAGTTTCAAAGTTAAACGCAATTAGAAGAAGTTACCGTAAATTTAATTTAGAGAAATAAAGTAAAATAAATAAATTAATAAATAACTCACGATTTCGGTTTCAATTTCGTATAATATTATTTACTTATTCAGTATACGGGAATAAGTAATTACGAAACAATTTCAGTGACGAAAAGCGAATTCATAACAAAAATTCAGTCATTTCGATTTATTACAGTTGCATAATTAGAAACGAAAAATGCATAAAACATTATAATTTATTTACTTCATGAATTTTCTGAATATTTCGTTTAGAGATATCGTTTAATATGACGTTTATTAATGTTTGTGGGCGTTAGGGGAAACAGGTGATAAATACCCTAAACAATCTGCACTTGAATAATGACTGCATCAGCAAAATCCATATATCTTATTTGTACTTGAATATTTAATATTTTACTTTATGGAATGGGGAGTTATGGGAATAGTGGTCAAGCTCATGAAAATAGAATTATGATCTTACCTGTGATAACTATATTTAGTAAGTAAATTATTAACTCTGCGAATACAAATTGTTAGCAGAACGTTAATACATAATTATTCTTAAATATTAAATATAATTTTCGTGTTTTATTTGAAGTCCGTTATTGATTGTTTCGACTTTGATCATTAACATGATCAATCCATTATATAAGAGAAATTATTATACAGTATTTGTATGTGTTTCCTCTGTATTTTCACTTCATTTAGTTATGAAAGAAAAGAATTTTCTTTTA